TAGAAGAAAACAGGGGAGAATGTCTTGGGGACCTCGGGGCAGACAAAGACTTCTCCAACAGACACAAAAGACTTTAACCAGAAGGGAAAACATTGATAAACGGGACTTCTTTAAATTAAAACTTTGCTCCTCAACAGGTATCACTAAGCCATGTAAAGGCAAGCCCGTGTCCCATGGCTGTAATACACATAGCCCCGACAAAGGACCCTTATAGAGAACATGTAAAGAGCTCCTAGAAACCAATAAGAAAGTGACCAGCAACTCAGTTTTAAAAAAGTAGTTGGAAAGAAAGAAAAAAAAAAGAGAGAGAAAAGTTGTTGAAGGGCTGGGGGTGTGGCTTGGTGACAGAGTACCTGCCTGGCATGCATGGGGTTCTGTGTTTGATCCCTTGCACTGCAAAAAAAAAAAAAAAAAAAAAGGTGAATAGTTCCCAAAAGCATTTCCAGAAAGAGAATATCTGAATGTTTGCAGGGAGGGAGGGGAGGAGTGGTGGGGAGTGACACAGGCCAAATTACACTGTGACATTGTGGGCCTGTACAAATAGGTAATAACAAATCCCACCACTATGTGCAACTATCATGCAYCAATAAAAAATATGAGGGGGAAGAATGAATATTCAATTGACCCATTAGTATAAGAAAAAAATACTCCACCTCTTTATCATCAGGAAAAATAGAAAAACCACTACGAGATAACCATTTCATAAACCACCAGAACAACCAAAATTTAAAAATAAACCGACTTCGCCCAGTGGTGGTGAAGCTGTGGAGCAGCTGCCCTGCCCTGCCCAGGAGGAGCGGGAACTGACCCCCTGCAGAAAACCCCAGGGCTGGACCTGTGCATGTSCTAGGGCCCTGCACTTCCACTCCCAAGTTCACGCCCAGCAAACATGAGGACATGTGTGCACCCAAAGACACCCACCAGGACRCCCAYGGCAGACCGCGGGGAGTCGCCCCCSGGGGGACACGTGGAAGGGACAACAAAGGGGAAGTGGGTTTTAACCCAGGACGGTGCATCAAAGCTTGACCCGGGGTGTGATGCTGCTTGAGCAGGTTTGTCTCTTATAACCAAAGGCTCCTGGGCCAGCCGGGGCTCCACCCCCCTTTCCTGCACCCACCAGTTGATCTAGCCACCTCGGCCCTGCCCACTGTGGGATCCCCAACACCTGGCACAGGTGGACGCTGGCTGGCGAGGATTTCTCAAGTGTGTAAACTGGCCTCCTTCAAATGACACGATTCCCACCCCGCTCTCTGCATTGGCCCTCGCAGCCCTCCTTCCCACCATCCTTCAAAGTGCAACTCAGCATCTCCTCCTCCAGGAAGTCCTCCTGCCCTGCTACCACACCCCTGTGGTCTTCCCCTGCCTTCAGGCAGGTCTAGCCACCGACTCCGCTTCCTACCCTCTTGGGTGGGACCCATGGAGGGCAAAGCCTTGCTTCCTGCAGGGATCAGAAGGAGGAGTTTTGGTTAAGGGAGTTTCACACACTGGGAATCCATTCATTTTTGCATCAGACAAAAATACCAACATTGCTTTTGTGCCTCCTGTGTGCAGGCCRACGGGAGGTCGTGTAGTGGAACGGGGAAAAGACAGGCTAAGGGATGAGATGGACTCCCCTGCCCGCTGCATCCCTCACACACACCCAGTTAGGACTGTGGAAGAAAAGCCCAGGGTGTTATGAATGTGAAAGGAGACTGACCTCTGCTTGGGAAGTGTCCAAGGAGAAGGAGGAGTAGATAGTTGAAGGCAGGGCAGGAGTGAGGAGGGGGTGAAAGAATTATAAGCAGAGGAAACAGCATGTGCAAAGGCCCTGAGATGGAATGTATGGCTAGAATCTAGAACCCAGAGTTTAGGAGAGAGAGTGGGCCAGATGGGGCTGGAAGGTCAGGTTGAAACCTTGATGAGGTCTGATGATGGATGACCTGGGAAGGGGACCCATTCAAGGTTTTAGGCAAGTAAGTCATGTGACCTGGTATAGGGTGGGAAGGGGCTGTGGCTTTGGTCACTTGGGAGCCTAGGGCTGGACTTGTAGAAGCTGGGGGCTTTTGTCTGTGGCCTGCTGCAGGCAGCCTGTTCCATGTGGGGTGGGACCATATATTCCAGGAGGAAACCCTCCCGGGGGGATCTAAGACCCTGCCCTGGCCCCCTCCTGGCTGGGAGCCCCCTGTGTGGAGCTGCAGGGTACCACTAAGGTACCACTAAGGAGGCATCATGTTATTTTAGTGATTTTTAGAAAAACTGGGTTGGAGACTCAACCTGGCCCTTTGGGCTGGCTGTGCCCACGTGGGCCTCTGTGTTCTGACTGMAGGCATTTGTTCTGTGTCCTGACCTTTTTATGGAGCAGTTTCAGTTGAATGTAGTCATTTTCTAGCCGGAGGAGGCTGGGCAGAGGGTGGCAGCGTGGACTCTCAGCAGGGAGGTGGATACTTGGCTGCGCAGCACTGGCTGCAGGGCATGCTGGGAAGACAGCGGGAGGACTCGGGCAGGGAGGAGGGCTGATGGGCAGAGCGCAGCTCTTCCAGGCTGACCCGCGGGGGGAGCCTCTGGTCGGGTGTAGGCTGGCTCTGAGATTCCAAGACAGGGACAGTAACTGTGCTCCACGTCCATCAGGGAGCCTTGGACCTTCCACACAGGAGCCAAGAGGAGCAGGCAGGCAGGTGGGGTCCRGTCACGGGAAAGCCCTGACCTGACGCTCAGTGCGTAGAGGGCAAGGGAGCCGAGCTTAACCAGAGCAATACCTGGTGTCACTATGGTGACAGACACTTCCCTGAACGCCTGGGAGGGGCACCCATTTCACAGATGAGGAAGGYCCAAGGTCACACAGCTACAGTCCAGGCAATCTGGCTCCAAAGCCCGGCTGTGCTCCCCTCTGTGCCGAGATGYTCACCCCATCATCGGGCTTTGGAAAACGGAAGCAGCAGTAGGGAGAATAGACGGGTCTGCACCTGCAGGTCCAGGAGACCGAGTGCCCTGGATTGGAACAAAATTGTCCTTGACTCCACACTGGGAGCTCTTTAGAAAGGCCAGGATCTCCTGTGGGAGGTCCCAGTCTGTCCAAAATGCATGGATGATGCTGTCCCCTAGGCTTGGCTGACAGGGGCSCTGGGCAATGATGCTCAGGCTCCCGTGCCTCGAACCCAAGTCATTCATTCAGTGGTTCATTCAACCGTCATTGCACTGAGCGACTACTACATGCCGGTCTCATGGGTGCCAGGGCATCGTGTCAATTATCAAGAGAGAGTCTTCTTTTCAGTGGTACTGGGGRAAATGGGAAAGACGCTAAATACACATTTATAGAGCTAAAAATTGTGATAAGGGCTTTGAAGACGGAAAGCAGGGGGCCATGATATCATATTCCAGGAAGGGTGACCTAGTCGTTTTTGGGAATGAGATTCCTTAGGCTCGAGAATTTTAAACAGAATTACATGGAAACCGGGAGTTCGATGGAAGCTATTTCCRGAGTTCTCTAAGCCTTGAAGTTATATTTGAATTAAATATATATGTAAAAATACAGTTCATCTCTGCCRCTTCCCTTGACATCCGCGGGAATTGGTTCCAGGACCCCCTGAGGAAACCCAAATCTGCAGATGCTCAAGTCTTTTCTCTAAGTTGGCACAGTATCTGCATATATCCTACCCACATCCTCCCAGATACTTTAAGTCACCTCTAGATGACTCGTAATACCCAGCACAATGTAAATACTGCGTGAATAGTTGTCACACCGAATTGTTTAGGAAAAAAATGACAAGAAAAAAAAATCTGCCTGTGTTCAGTAGAGATGCAATTGGCCTTGTTTTCCCCCTTGGATGTTTTTGATCTGTGGTTAGTTGTCCTATGGATACAGAGCCACTGTCAAAGAGGAGGGTCAATGGTGTGTGTGTGTGAGGGGGTGGGCATTGTGTGTGTGCATGTGTGTGTGTGTGTGTTTTAGTAGTAACAAAGAGCACACTGCTGTTCGGTCGGGTGTTGATAAGTCACCTTCCTTGGGCATTTGAGGACCTGGCGGAGTTTATTTTTAATGTGCCTCCTAATTAGGAGAGATGCAGCACCACGTTTGTTTGTATTTTACTCTTAAAAACTCAGATGTGGGAGACTCTTTAATTGGATTTACTACAACTTTTTTTTTCTTTTTTATCATTTAGGATTTTCTTGTTCTTATGCAGTCAAAACAAATTTAGAGAAAACCCTGAATAATGAGGTCCCACGTCAGACCTCCTCTGGGGTCAGGTGGCCGCAGGCACTGAAGCAGCCCGTGTTGTTTTTCTTGTCTTTTTTTACAGCAAATAGATGTTGCGCGTTTGAAACCTCAGGTTATCCGTTTTATACGTATTTCCCATGTTGACATTTTTGGGTGGGATTTTAAGGAAAGCCAGCAGTTTTCCGAGCAAGGTGACTCTGGTTCATCATGATGGGTTGTCTATTCAAAGTAACTAAAAGGAAGGGTCTTTTTTCTTGTTTTGAGGCATCGGGGCTGGAAGCCAGGACCTCACACAGGCCCGACCAGCACTGGGCCTCTGAACTACATCCTTGGCCCCAAAGGGAGAGTTGTGCATGTCCCCACCACAAAGAAATGATAAATGCTTGCCCTGAAAGTATGCCAACACTCTGATCTGATCATATYKCAATGCATTCATGTATCAAAACATCACRCTGTGCTTGTAAATATCAACAATTATTATTTATCGGTTCGAAATAAAATAAAAAGGAAAAGAAACAAATTAGAAAGTGTTGGCTTTGGTACGGATGGTGCTGGAGGCCTGGGTGCATGGCCTCCCCGCTGCTACCTCTCAGGCTCCTGCCCTCACCTCTGACTCCTCTCATGGCCTCTCACCTGCTCCTCACCCACCCTCTGTGGCCTCCCCCTCCCTCCCAGCCCCTGATGGTGGCCTGATTGATAGACAGGAGCTTGAGTGGAACTGGGACTGTCAGGACTCCGGACCAGGTGGGAAAGCTGCAGGTCCCCGCCCCTGGTGGGAAGAGGACATCAGGGGCAGCTCACTCACCCTTCTTGGTGGCCTCAAAGCTGTCGTGGAAGTGAATCCTCTGGATGTCGTAGGTCAGGGTGGTGTTGGGCAGCAGGGTTCTGTTCCTGTTGATGATGTTGGCGGAAAATCGGAAGGCGTGCTCCTCGGCGTTCATGACCTGGGCATTGGGGCCGTCCGCATACTCGAAGATTCCTCCTGGGAGAGAGAGTAGAACTGTGTGGCGGGGAGGAGGGACAGCATCCAGCAAAGCTGCTAGGCTCAGAGGGTCTCCAGGACAAGGTCCCCCCCCACCAGTGTTCAGTGACCTCCCAGAGAACTGCTGCAAAGACAAACTGTGCCGGGTGCACAGGATTTATGGAAATCCTCCTGGTTCATGTCACCCCACTAGCAAATTCCTGATCACACGGAGCCGAAAGGGCCAAAATAATCAACTTATTAATATTGCTATGAAAAATTCTYGATAGAGTTCTGGCAAGTATAATCTACCAGAATATCACTAGGATAACTACCATGACCATTCCAGAAATGTAAGACCCGTTCAATATCAAGAAATCCATGACTATCATTCCACCACATCAATAGTTCAAAGGAGGGGAAAAAAAGATAATCAACTTACAAAATGCAGGAAGGCATTTGAAAAAATCCAATAKCTRCTGCTATTAAGAACGCTTGATAAAATAGCGCYAGAAAGACACTTTCTTGAAGCACCTTTAGCTCATATCAGCCTTTAATATCACACTAACTAGTATCTAGTGAAACACTGGAGGCATTCTTGTTAAAGGGGGGAAAAAAAGAAAAAAAGGCTGTGGGTAAAGATTCGCATTGTACGGATAACCTACGAGACGAGACAGAAAATGAATTTAGAGCACAGCTTTCGAAAAGGAATAAATTCTTATTTGCAAATAATATAAATGTCCCCCCAAAAGCCCTTAAATTAATCCACAGCCATGAGAACAAGTAAGAGCTAGTAGGAGAGTTAAGCTAAATGATCAGTTAGCCCAAATTAATAGTGTTTCTTTATAACCGTGACAACCATTTGGAAGTCAGCRGAAAAAGGATTCATTTTACAATATCAACCCAAATATTCATTAGCAAATAATAAACCAAATAAGAATTGTACAATTGCAGCTTTTTTAAAAAACCGACAAAAACAAATAAAAACATTTCAAGTGAGGAATATACACATAGTCTTTGCTGGGCCTGGTGGTGCACACCTGTAATCCTGGTGACCTGGGAGGCTGAGGCAAGAAGATCACAAGTTCGAGACCAGCCTCAGCAACTTAGTGAGGCCCTAAGTGACTTAGTGAAACCCTGTCTCAAAAAATAAATAGATAAATCATAATAATACAAAAAAACCTGGGGATGTAGCTTAGTCATAAAGTGCCCCTGGGTTCAGTGTCCAGTACCAAAAACATACACATCAACAAAACAACCACCACAACAAACAGAGGAGGTACGTTATGTTCCTAGGTAGCAAGGTTCAAGGTGCTAACTTTCACCAAAATTAATTTTTCAGTTTAATTCAGTTCCAATTAAAATCACAGAAGGATTTTTTTTCTTTTTCTTGGCAAAATGATTCTAAAACATACCTGGAAAACTAAACATAAGATAATGACCAAAAACTGTCTTTATAAGAACAATGAAAGGTGACTTGTGTTGCCAGACCTTAAAGACTATCACTAAACCAAAATAATTGAAACCATGTTGTAATAGAGTATGAAATGAGAGCAACCGAATGAGAGAAAAAGCCCCTAGAGAGAGATTCAAATAGAGGTAAACACTGGAAAAAATATTAAAGGTGGCTATTTCCCACCGGTCAGTAAAGAATGAATTACTCATTAATTGTGCTCTGACAATTGTTTAATTATTTTGGAGAAATTTAGGCTACAATCTCAACCTGTGCATCAAAATAATCCCAGATGGATTAAATATTCAGTAGTAAGAAAATAAGAACGAGGGGAAGAAAACCCTATAAAATTACCCYAAAGAGAAAATATAGGTGAATATTACACAGTATTGGGGTGGAAAAGGCCTTTCTAAGTATTTTAAGAGAGATAAAAACTGTAGAAGAAAGACTGATAACTCCATAGAAATAACACAAAACTTCTATGCRTCAAAATCACGCTAAGCGAATCCCAAAAAACCAAAGGCCGAATGTTCTCTCTTATAAGTGGATGCTGATCCATAATGGCGGGGATATGGGGAAAATGGAGGAGCTTTGATGGGGCCAAGGGGAGGGGGGAGGGGG